GGAATGGGGGAATTACAATACTGAAGGGGAGACACTGTGTTTGTCTTGGAATGAGATTTTTTTTTTCTCATGTGTGCTGTAGTGGAAGTGACTAACACTGGTGTAATGCTTGTGAAGGGAGGGAGAGTAAAATTATTTGGGACACAGCAAGGATCCGTCTTAGGAAGAGGTCTGTCCTGGGTCAGCAGAGAAGCAAGTACTGGTGCTTGGAAAAAATCAGGACAAGGAAAAAAATATCCTGGAGGTAGGATGTAATGTCTATTAGAGGCATAGATAAGGTAAAGGAAAACATACAAAAGTAAAATACTTCTTTGTCTCGTCAATGCCCTATCAGTAAACAGAAAGGTGGTGTAACTGTGTTAAGACCTTAAAGCCTGTATGGAATGTGAGAAACCAGTCCAGAAAGGAAAAGGGCTTAAGCAGCTTTATTTCTAGACATGAGCAGGTTTCTTCATTAAACACAGGTGCTGCTAATCCTTTGCACTAAATTAGCTATGTTTTGTGGCCAAATGTGACACTATATATTGTATCTCTATGGGAATTGCTTGTGGGTGGCAAAGAGCTGTGGGATCATAGCGGTCCTGATTGGGATAGTAAAAGAGATGATAACCGGTAATGGGAGTAAGCCCTATGTTAGCATTACAGGTGGTGTTTTATGTTGATGCCTTGGTAAATGGATACCATTATGCAAAGTTTGCATGAGCTGTTGAAATGCGTGTGCAAAGTGACAGAGCACAGGTTGCTGCTGGGTTTTGGCTTGTGTAGATGGGGAAGCATCAGTGAGCTCTGCACTGAATTGCTTGGAGACTGCTGTCACCTGTGCCCCTTTGCTGCTGTGAGGGAAAACAAGGGAGGACAAAGCCAGAGAGTTAGAGGATATGGCTATTTATATGTTGTAAGCTAGCCAAGGGCAGTGGGAAAAAATAATACAGTCCATGCAGAATGTGGGAATTTGCACCAGGAAACATTATATCTGCTGTTGTAAAGTCCTTGCCCTTTAGTCAAACATGGATTTTTTTTCTTAGGCTTGCGAAGTCCTGAGGAAGGCTGGATTTGGTGACCTATGAGGTAACAATGCCAGAAGAAAGATTTTTAGACTGACTTTAGAAAATCAGACCTAGCTTGCCTCAGGAATGGAGAGTCTTAAGCTATCTGTGCGGTCAGCAATGTTGGAAGAAGATGCACCAAGGCAGGGAGAACCTGATTTTCCCCAGGGACAGGGTTTATTGCTGGAAAAAAAACCTTCTTCCTTTACAATGGAGCTCAGGAAGTCTTCTGTGGTGCCGCACACTGTCATTTTACAGGAATCCTAGCATGCCAGCACCATAATTGAATACAAGGAAAAAATGACAGGAGGGCCATGAAATGTGGAAACTGTGGAATGTGGGAAGAAGCTGGCAATAATGTAAAGAAAGGTGTGAGCCTAACATGTTTAGGGTGGGAATAAATCCTATCCTTGCAGACACTTTAAAAATGTGAACCCATCATACCACATTCTACCTACGTTTCAGCAATTAACAGGCTTACTCATAAAGAGTGTAGAGAAGGTGTATTTGCAGAAGAGGAGGATGTAGGAGCACCTACCTGCAGGGTGACTTCAAGAAGAGCTCTGAAAGGAATTGCTCCTGTAGACAGAAAAGCCCAGGTTTATTTTGATAGGCTACCCTAGTCAGGATTATACTTCACCCCCTCCACCCTTCAGAGGAAAAGAATATGAAGTGTTTGCAGACAGCTTTTAGGAACTGCCTGTACATCTCCACTATTCTTATCTATGAGTCCAAGCAAACTTTGCAGGAGATAGGCTTCAGAGCAATTGCTCGGGGGAGGGGGGACTAAACTCCCAGTGATAAATGTGAGCCTGATGCAGTTTCTGTAGGGGATGTGCTGTGAAGTTCAAGCTGAGCCCTGCCCTGTTTTCTTACAAGCTCTGAATGCTGGGGCTTGCAAGCCTTGAGAGACAGCTGCCTAGCAAGCCTCCAGCTGTAGGCAATGATACAAGCAATGCAGGGGCTCTTTCTAAATACTACAGCACCTTTTTTTCATCCTGCCTTTTTTTTTTTTTCATTTTTTCACTGCCAGCCTGCTGCTGGCAAGAGGCAGGCGATGTTCAGAGCACCCTGGGAGGACAGGGGGGTGCTGTGTAGCAGTGGGAGCAGGGTGAGGAGCCAGGTGCTCTGCAGCAGAGTAAATGAGTCCCTGCAGCCCCTGCTGCTACCCAGGAGGGGACACCCCGGGAGCCCCAGGGGGCTGGGGCTGCTGCTCCCCCCTGGGTGAGAGTTGCTGCTCCAGCTAAGGCACACAAGCACTAACTTAGCACAGCCCAAGCTGGGTTTTGTTTGGTTTCTATGTTTAGAGGGTGGTTTAAGCCCATGGCCACTGTGTAATTATGATGATTACAAAATAACCACCTCTTCAGTTTCTGCCTGTTGGCAGCCCTGAGGAAACAACCTAATTTGAACTACCAGCACTCCTCTGAGAACCCTGATCCCTATTTAAATGAACCTAGAACATCTAGACAGTTGCCAGACTTTGCTGGCAATGATAAAAATAGGTTAGTGAGATTTTTCCGTTGCTGGACACAGGCTTCCACATGTGTGGCTCCTACAAAATGAATCCACAAGGCAGCCATTCATGGCATGTTGAATGCTTCTCTTCTCTAGCTGCCTATTTCGTGTTCAATAGATATTCAGGCTGCGGCTGAGAAGTGACCTTTTATGTCTTGTTCTTAACGCTGGCGCTTTGTCTCTTAACTTGCCACACGCTGGACTCCTGCACTTATGCTGCCCTGTCCCAGCAGCGAAATGGCTTCCTCGGTGTTTCAAGCATGGCAGGTCCTGCTGCGTAGAAGGAGTTTGTGTCTCAAGTTGCTGCTCCGTGAGGAAGGAACAGGGTGGAGGAGAGCCAGGGAAGCTGTACCACAGGACAGGTTTTTCAGCTTTGGGCTGGTGCAGCCTGATGCAAGCTGCACCTCCAGCTTATACGGCCTCTGCGCAGGGAAAGATGGGAGAATGGTCAGCAGCGCTTTCCAAACCCACAGTCTCACCTCAGCTTGAGGTCTGTAATTAAAAGAATAGTTTTAACTACTCTTCATGCTCCTCTGTTGCTGGGATTTCTTGGTACCTCTCCTTGCCTGAGTACATGCTTATCCTCATGACAGAGATGCAGGGTGGAGCAAGTTCCCAGGAGAGAGGCAGGCACCTGAAAATTTCAGATTCCATCCCACCATCACCAGTGCAACAAGGGCAGAGAAGAGACAGGGCCTGTTGTCAGCAAGTTGTGATTCATGACTTGGTCTACTTGCAGGCTATTCACGGCACAGTGTAAATGCAAGCAGATGTTAAAAGTGCCAGGGGGGTGGTTCAATAAAGTTACTGTTTTGCTCCTCCTTGTAAGGGGCTAGTCACTCCTCTGCAGTTCTCTGTGACTTTATTCTGTGTGCGAGTGAGGACAGAAAAATCTTTATTGTTCAGGCAGGCCACTGGTGTCTGTCTTGGTCTTCAGCTGGAGTCTGGTCCTATAAAGCACACAGCCATGCTGTGCTGTGGGGTGGGTTGGTTGCTCCACAGCACCATAGCCACCTTTGTCAGGCATATGGGGAAGGAGAGGAGAGACAAAGTCCATGTTAGTTACTACTGCCACCACTTTCCTTGAGACTTATTTATAAGTGTTATTTATACATTGAATTTGCAAAAACTTGCACATGACAAGGGTGAACAGGGACCTATCTTGTGTTTTGCCAGCTGCAGTGATAAAAACAGCTCCCCTTCCGTGTCCAGTCAAACTCCTACCACAGCCATAGCTATATCTGTTTTATATGAGAGACTACTTTATTTGCAGCATGACTCCTAGGGACAACTGCTCAAAGTCAAGCCCCTCTTGCTATTTTACAGTATTCATTTTACAATATCAAGAGACACAGCCCCCGGGAACCTCTGCTCTTACAAGGCTGTTGCTTTGTGGCATGGGAACATTGTGATTTGTAGACCTTCAACCGTAATATCACCATAGCCACCAACTAAGGAAAATTATTTTTATTGTGTCTTTGCCTCCATTTTCTTTCTTTTTAAAATTTTCCTAGAAGCCATGTAAGCACTCAGACTTTACATGTGGCACAGAAAGGGTTTCCCACACACACAGTCTGTGTCTTTAGCCTCTGTCTTCCACATGGAGCTGCTGAAGGATTTTGTAAGGTGTGCACACCAAAAGTGCTCTTGGGGAAAAAAACCTAAGGTAGGAAACATGGTGTCAATGGATAGAAGAGAGAAGACTGAGTCAAATCCCACCCTCCTCATAGTGTAAATCATGCTTTAACGGCAAGCAAATAAGTGAGGCCTTTCCCTGTAGAAGCAGAGAGGATGTTACACTGTATGCTTTAATTTTCACACCAGAGGCTATGAAAATCTTCAGGATATGAGGACAGTAAAGCTCAAAGAGAATTAGGATCGTAGGCTCACAGAATAGTTCAATATGTAAAGGGATATCAAGAAGTCCAGCCTCCTGTTCAAAGCAGGGTCAGCCATGAAGTCAGGTTACTCAGGGCTTCACCTAACCTGATCTTGAAAACTTCTAGGGATGGAAACTG